TATTCTCCTTATCTTTGTTAAACTGTGAAACTCACTTTAAAATATCGCCCGTTATGGCTAAACTAGCAAATTGGAGTCTAACTTCACTTTCACTAACTTAACTTTTTCTGACTTAACTTGCACTCACTTAATTGGTCGCCTATATACATACTATGCCCAACTGAGGCTTAGAACTTTCTACAAACTACGAGACGCTATAATGTAGCAATACTCACTTAAGGCAATGAGAAAATTACAGAAGGTTCGAGTAATGCGACGTCACAATATTACTAAAGCCTAGTACAACAATTAAACTGCAAAAATAACGCACGACTCGTACAGAGACACGTAACGAAACTTGTCATAACTACTCCTTTTAAAACAATTAACCTTCAACACTCTTGTCATGAAAACTAAACAATCATTAAATACTAAGTCACAAATCAATCTATATAATAACTCTTATACTGAACAGTCTTGTATATCCAACAACAATACAAAAACAAATAAAGTAATTTATTATCCTTCAACTGGATAAGTCAAAAGAATCCGCCAACAAAAGAAATATGCCAGTATACTTGCTTTGTCTTGCTCTATCCAGCAGTCTGAAGATTGTACAACTGAACAACAAGACAGCTATTGAATTATCTCATGATTATGATTAAAATATTATTTGTTTACTTGTGTTTGTTTCATTTATTGGTCATGTTTGATATATTCTCTGCTATATATTTATTGATTCTGCTGTATATTGCGGATATTTAAAACTTTTTGTTGAAAACCAGTGAAGCTAAATATCATACGTATAAAGTAGTTTAGAAAATGATAAAACTTCCACAATTTTGTTATTTTTACGTTATTGAATTACAGCGTTTCTCTAGAATAAAAGAAGTGCCAAATATTGTATATGCATCAAATGCTATCTTTCAAAGAAACTAAATTGTGACACTTTGACAAAATAGTAGATAAAACTCTAAATGTTTAGCTTTGGAAACTTGAAATAAATTCAATTCTTCACTATGTTCTTTGAAATACAAAATAGAAAGTTCAGCTTACCTCAATTATAATGGTGACACATCCTATTGAACCTGGCCAACGACTTAGACTTAATTACGAATAAGTAATCTATTACATTATTGTTATTTTGGGAAGAATATTGCTATTTGTAAACAGTACTAACGAAAGAATTAAAAACAAAACAGTAATAATACTTGTCTTTTAATATGTCCCACTTTATAATTTGTATTGCACTTAATATATATTACAAGCAATTTATCTCTCGGTTTTCATTGCTGACAGTTTTCTTGTCAATAGACCAAACAACATGGTCGGAACTTGGCAGGGTAATATGTTGTGAGAAAAATCTCTGAAGCTTAGTTATTTTATTGGATCACTAAAGTGTATAGACAACGCTGATACTATTACTATAACAATATTTAAGATTTTAATACTACCATATGTCATTTGTGAGTTAACTCAGTTTGACTTTCTAAAAACTCGGGTATGTGAAAGTTTGATATGGGTACCATAATTTATAAATATGAGTAGAAATTATAATTTATATATGTAATTACCGCAATCTAAAATTAGTAAAAAGTTTAGATATTTAAAAAAAAGAAAAGTTAGTTTTCTGTCACGAGGCTATTAATAATTCAGTTTTAAAAAATATGATTATGACTTGTGTAAGGTTTTTTTTTTACTTTAAAGTTTAAACTGTTTTACTTTAGTGTTTAACCCTTGTTAAATGCATGATGAAGTAATTTACTTACAAGTTACATTAATACGTTACAACTGACACAAGTGACCCGCCAAGGAAAAAGAAAAAAGATTCGGACTACAAATTTCTTTTATTACACCTAACACAATACTATTACTAGATCTTTAACGTAAGTTATTGTACTATAATAAGCAAACATACATCGCAGTTCCTCAGATGTGATACTGATAGCTATAAATTGCAGTTAGCACAGACAGTTTCGTTTTCATTATGTGTGTGAGTGTACAGAACAGATAGATCTAGTGTATTTTGACTTTTGTGCATGATAATGATATGCTAGTCTTCATGTCTTCAGAAGTCAAGTAGGGCACATCAACTATCTTGCATTTGGAAGTAGTAGCAGTATTCTATAGCATACCTTTTTTGATAAAAGTTACACAAATTTTACAATATGCGTTACTTTAGGTGCTAGTGACCTATGCTCTTTCATTCAAAATTACTGCAAAATAAACAGTATTTTTTTGTAGTTTTGGCCAAATTAATGTTGTCGTTAAAATCAAAAATGATATTCAACGTTAAACTGG